ATCAATTTTTTTTTGTTTGTCATGGGGCTTGAACTCTGAGCTTGGGCGCTGTCCCTCAGCTCTTCAGTTCAAGGCAAGCACTACCACCTGAGCTAAAGTGCCACTTCCAGTTTTCTAGTGGTTTATTGGAGATAAGAGTTTCACTGCCTATCTTGCCTGAGCTGGATTTGGACCACAATCCTCAGATCTCAGCCTCCTAAGTAGCTAGGATTACAGGCATGAGCCTCCATTGTCCAACTTCACAATCAGTTTAATTTCCACTGTATTACCAACCTAGCTCTAAGTATCACAAGCTTGGCTTCTCAGAGATGTTTCTCTCACCAATTTGCTGCCCTTTCCCAGGAGGTCTGGCTTAGCCCTGTTCCTTATCCTCAAAGAATTCATATTCTGCATATGTATTTCCAGAAGCCCAGGGAGCTTCCTGGAAAGAAGGTAGGTTCTCTAAGGAGCATCTACAGGAGGCCTGGGGTTTTCTCCTATTCCTTACCGCCCTGAACAGTGAGCAGCTGTCATCACGAAGTCCTCTCGGATCAGGAAGCCACCGCACTGCCTCAGAGAATACCCATCGAGGTTTTCAAGGTAGGCCATGTAAGGTCGGGAGTGGGGCTTGGCCTCATGTCCCCCGATGATTTTCCCTGAAGAAAAGTGTGTCTCATTATGTGTACCTCTGAGTTCACCTTGATAGCGCTGTCCTGCATATCATTTGGGAAGCTGAGATGACCTGCAGTTGGGAAGGGGTTAGACAAGAAACTTCACATTCCTCCTCTGGAAAAAGAAAGAAAAGCAAGTCTTGGGCTATAAACACTTTTTCCAGGTATAGCTTCAGTGAGCATAACTTTTTCAATCCCTACGACTCTGTATAAATCTCTTCTCATTTTACTGTCTTCAAGATATTTTCTAAGATCCTCCTGAGTCCTGCACTGTCTAAAATGAAACTTGTTTCCAGTGCCCAAGACTTTAATTTAAATCCAGATGTTGTTATATCCTATTTCTTAGGGAAATAAGATATGTTTGCTGGCTTCTCTGGGGAATGGCTCCACTTAGTGTCCCGATTGGTAGGGCAGTGCTGGTGGTATTCTGAAAAGCAGAGAAGTGGGAGTCAGACACAGTAGGTCCTACTTGGAAGTTAATGGGTCACCAGAGGACTGGGAGGAATAACAGAGGTAGAGAAAAGGATGAGTTGTTTGGGATTGAGCAAAGACAAAAAACAGAAACAAAAACAAAACAGTGGCCAATTCTAGGGTAACAGAGCTCTGCGGTTGCCTGTGAAGCAGTTGCTAAAGAGAGCAATCACCTCATTCCAGACACAGAAGCCACACATAGTGTCTCTTCTCCAGGACATTTCCCTATTTCCTCCTTTCCAAATTCCCACTATACTCTGTCATGCCTTTTAGCTTACTTTCAAGATGATAAGGGTGGGGCTTAGGGAAGACTAAGAGAACAATGTCTCCCATCCCATTCTTGCTGATAGGTCATCCAGTGTCATACTGGGGCTTCTATGGTAGTATTGGAGCTGAGATCCAGAGTGTTTGTAGTAGGTGGATCCATGGTATGCAGAAGAAACAAAAATTTGTGCCTGCTTTGGGATGTGTTTGGTCCTCTAAGATGGGGTGGTCACTCACCTGTCTTTGCTGTGGGGGGCAGACAGAAGGCCAACAGGAACAGGAGAAGCTGCATCCTCCCAGGAAGGCTGCTCAGGCCACAGCTTCTAGAACTGCATCTGGAAATTGCTTACTTTTAACCTCTAGCAGAGGAAGTAGGTGGAGTAGGGTCAGAGACCATGTGATTCATTGTAGAAGGGTTTCTATGAAGTCCACCTACTCCTGGCCCCTCCTTTCTTTGCCTGATGACGTCTTTCTGAGTGGTTGTGTGAGAATCACACAGTGACCACATCGGTACCCACAGCTGAGGATGCAGAGACAGCCACCTGTTCCTGCCCAGGCAGGAATCCAAGAGTATGAGGTGGGGACTGCAGGATGTGGTTTTGACCGGTAGAGGTATAGGAGTTTGAGAAACCCATGTTTTCAATGCTGTGCTTTGAAATCTAGGAGTGTAGTTTCTGTGAGCTCATTGCTAGAGTTGTGTCCATTTTCCTCAGGGAGCTGACAATCTGTTAGGGGTGGTAGAGATGCTAGGAGCCAGAATACAGTTTGGGGAGAGCCATGGTGCATGGGCATTGTGCATTAAACTGTGTCATCATAGCTTCCTCACAAGGGAGTTAAATTGTTTTATTCTTATGTACAGAGGGGTTACAGTTAGATGAGTTAGGTATAGAGCACATTTACTTTTGGACAATGTCACTCCTTCCCTCACTCTCTCTCACCAGGGAAGTTTAAACATCTCTGATTTACAAATGCTTATGATGATGGAGTCCACCTCTCTTTTCAATGCTTTTACCAAAAATTTTATACTTGAACTTTATTGAACAGAATTAACAAATTTTTTGCTGACTTCTAAAAGTTCAATCTAGTGACTAACATAAGTTTGGGCACTTCTACATCTTTAGGAAGGCTGGAGTCAGACTCACTCAAACTACTTGAAGTAGTTTGGAGAAGGCTGAATCTCCAAAAGAAAATGGGGTTACTAATATGATGCATTGTGTCATGAGAAAGTAGGCCATGCAGCTAAAATTCAGTAATTGTCCTTTTAGTATTTTCTATATTCTGTTCAGAGAGCCACACACAAAATAAGCATTTCTAAACAACTGTGCTGATGCTCTTAGTGTAATGGAAGTGAAGGATTGTGTTCAATTCTGTTAAATGAACAACTAAACACAATTGACCCTAAAAGCATGGGTCCTTCTCCCCAGATGTATGCTGTTGAAAAGTCCATGTATAATTTCCAAAATTTATGTATGAATAGCTTGAAGTTGCCTATATTTATCTGTAATATATACCATGGATTGGCACATATTTTATAAATATTATATGAGATCCCTTCTCTTTCCATATGTAATTGCTGCAGTAAGCATGGAGTACATGGAGAAGATCAATGTCAAATGACACTTTGAAAAGATGCTTGAAACACTTGAACTCACTGCAATACATGTGTCTAGGAAGTTATTAAATAGTCTTAGATGTACTACAGTTAATTTATACAATTATCACTTAATCTAAACATAAGATTGTGACCCATTTTAAAAATTGAGGTGAAATTCACATCAGATGCAATTAACTATTACAAAGTGTATAATTTGGTGATATTTAGTGCATTCAAAATGTGTAATCACTCTGTAGGTGGTGCTACATTCTGTAATGTTCCACTCAAGAGACAGAGGTAAGAGGATCCTAAGTTTGAAATCAGCTTATGCTAAATAGTAACTCTATCTCATATTTAAAAAATATACAGACACTACCTCTTTATAATTTCTGATTGTTTTCCTCTCCCCAGAACACAATGAAATTATTTAATAATCAGGAAATAAATCATATAACCATCACAATAGATGCAAAAATACCACTGGGAAAAAATCAACATCTTTTTATGATAAAATTTCTGACAATTCAATTTAGTATTAGAATGCCTACCGAGAGCAATAAGACAAGATGCAAACACAGAGGGGATCCAAATAAGGAAAGATGAAGTAAAACTCTTCCTCTATGCAGATGACACGATCTTGTATTCAAAGAACCCCATAGATTCCACTCCAAAGTTACTCAAGCTGATCTGACACTTTGGCAAAATAACAGGGCACAAATTAACCCCAAAAATCAATGGCTAGGTCTGGGAAGGTCGCTCAGTGGTAGGGTGCTTGCCTAGCATGCATGAGGCCCTGGGTTCGATTAACCAGCACCACACAAGCAAAAAGAAAAAAGCTGGAAGTGGTGCTGTGGCTCAAGTGGTAGAGTGCTAGCCTTGAGTTGAAGAGGTGAGGGATAGCACCCAGGCCCAGAGTTCAGGCCCCACGACTGGAACTCCCCCCCCAAAAAAAATCAGTGACTATTCTGTTGATAAGAACGAGACGAGTGCAGCTGAAATCAGCATTTTATAATAGCCCCACACAAAATGAAATACCTAGGAGTCAACTAAAGAAGTGAAGGATTTTTATTTTGGAAACTTTAATAACTGAAAAAGGAAATCAAAGCAGAACTGAGGAAGTGGAAAAACCTCCCATGCTCCTGGATTGGGAAGATTAACATTGTGAAAATGGCAGTATTGCCAAAGGCTTTCTCCAAATTCAATATGATACCTATCAATACCCCAACTTCATTCTTCAATGAAATAGAAAAAGAAATCCAAAAGTTCATATGGAACAATAAAAGACCCCTATTAGCAAAACAATTCTTAGCAGAACTAACAGTGCTGGAGGAATATCAATAACAAATCTCAAACTCTAGAATAAAGCCATAGTAATCAAAACAGCTTTGTGCTGGCATACGAACAGAGCCTAGCACCAATGGAATAGAACTGAAGAATCAGAAATGATCCAACAGTGCTACAGACATGTAATCTTTAAGGAGCTAAAAAAATAGAATTGAAGAAAGACAGCCTCTTCGGTAAATGGTGTTGGCAAAGTTGCTTAAACACGTGCAGAAGACTAAAACTAGATCCTTATATATCACCCTGCATCAGAATCAAGTCCAAATGGATCAAAGACCCCAAAGTCACAGCAGACACACTGAAACTATTACATAAAGGAATAAGAGAAACACTAGGGCTTCTAGGCAGAGGTTGAAACAATTTTTAATATTATTTATTGTGAAAATACCATACAGAGGGATTACAATGACAAGAGCAAGGTAAAGCGTACATTTCTTTTTTTAAAATTTAACTTAATTTTATTTGTGAACATACTGTACAGAGGGGTTACAATTGCATGGGCAGGATAATGCGTACATTTCTTACCAAGCATTGCAGCCTCCTCCTT